AAAAATAAATCTTCTGAAAGTCCTAAAAAATTACTTAAAATTATCATCTATGGGCAAAGTTAATGTGCCCGCAATTGTGGAATGCATTAATTAATGTTAATGAGGTCACATATCGACGCCACTGAATGTTTTGGGTTGTTTACTAACAAAAATTGCAAAAATGAAGATTTTCAGTTCGAAGTACGTTACAGTAATCGGCAACTTCACACAGCGATTAATTACGGATAATCTAATTAAGGCGACGGCTTGTCTTGGATCAAACTATTATTTCTTTTTTTAAATCTGCGAATCACTTTTCTAATTGATTGATCCGTCAGTTAGGATTAGCAAATGTGGTCATTTTCACTTCTTCGCTTATTATGCAAACTTGATGTCTTGGAGAAATGAATCTTCCATTTTCTTCTTCACCACAACGACGCCAACTATTATTGTTTCAAAATGTTCCATTCACTGTTATTCATTTCACTGTTACATGGTCCAATACTTTTATCAGTTTATGACTTTTTCATATTATTTTTTTTTCCATTTATTTGCTAATAATTTTTAAGCCAATGCACAACATTCTGCATATCATTTTCGATCACTGCATGATATTCTATACGTCAATCTCGATCTCTGTACAATATTCTACACAGAACCCAACCATCACGTCCTACATATTGATTTAAATCAACTGTGATTCTACACGTCGATGTAGAATCGTGCATTGATCATGCGTTCTACACGTCAATGTTGTTTGTTATGTGATATTCTATATGTCAATTAAAATTATCATACGAATCCTAAATGTCAATTCTGAGCATCATACTTTTCATATTAATCTCGATCACACAGGCCAATCTTGATCGGTGGACGATGTTCTACACATCAATCTTGATATCCTATACATTCATCCCGAGCACCATCATTCCTGTCTCTCATGAGTACCATATTCCAGACGTCAATCTCGATTATTACTCCATATCCCATACGTCAATCTTGATCAATGCATGAAATTTTATGTGTTAATCTCTATCAGTTTTTTTTTCGAATTTTGAATTCTCAGCCGCAGAATGTTTACATATTACAAATTTTGTTCCAATCTTTCAATTATACTTTGCCTTCAACTATGTAATTTTTTTTTACGTAAAAAGAATTTCATTAGTGTGAAGAGCAGCATGACATATTTATTGATAAAATGTGATTAAAAATAATTCTTTTAAATTAGTTTTTATGTATTTGCATACAACATAAGTGCCATATTTTACTGTTATAATGTACTTGCACTATCATTTTCGAATTTAATTTAGAATTCCAATATTCACCAAACTGTTGACTTCTGCATTATCCGAATATTATTTTTGTGCAGAAAACTGAACTACCGATTACTAACATTGCAAAATTTTCATTCATTCTGATATTTACATTCCGTATCCTCTTGTTTTCCAGCAATCTAATAATTTATATTGTAAAGTACGGTGTCATACAGAGCAGTTGTACGACTTGCATAACGAATTCATAACGAATACCACCTGCAACCATTTTTTTAAGGCCATGAAATTTGAGATGGAATGGGATAATCTGAAAATTGTTAGCCATCAAGGATATTTTTCCATTTCGTTCACTTCTCTCCTCTTCATCTCTCTCAACTCTTTATCAAAATATTTTAGCTTAAATAGAAAAAAAAAAGCACTACACGTGGTAAGTGCTATTACTAAGTTTCCAATGGAAATATAATTTTTACCAACTCTTAATTTCCATTTCAGAAATTCAATAAAAATTTTATTTCCGAAAAATTTGAAAAATATCATAATATATTATTATAATGATTTTCGAGATCTATCAGGAATCTCGAAAAATTTTTCTACAAGAACAAATCTTTTTAATTAATGCAAATTATTTTTTGAACTATATTATACGGATTCAGACTCATCAATTTCTTTCAAATTACTAATTTCTAAATTGATTTTTTTCTTTCAATTAGTTATAAGCAATTACCAATTCCTAAATTAATTTTCAAACGATTACATGAATAATTCTCAACTGCATCGATTTTCCGTTCCTTTGCACAACTACTAACTTCATCACAAAATTTTTTTCTTTTTTGAATTTCAATCTCACAAACATTTTATCCCTTCCTTCTATCATTCGTCAAAAATGTGATAATGACAATTAGTTCTAAAAAACAAAAAAGTATGAGTAATTATCAATTTCCGATTAGAGATGTGTCCATTGATCAGAGATCAACAATATTGATAGCATTCATTTTTGCTCCGAAAATTACCTTTCTTTTTAACTGGAAGTGTTGAAAGAGGCGGATCATTGGTATCACACCTGCCTTTATGCCATATGCTAACATCAAAGACATTCCTACCTCAATCAACTTGCACCTTTTACGGATATACTTGTGGCAAATTGTTCGGGCCAATTATGAGTTTCCTAATTTTGCTGCAGCCGGATTATCCCACTAATTTACCTGCTCATGTCACTCAGGAATGTTACCCTGACACGATCACAAATAATGAAAACGTGCATGACATACACACATTTGATATTCACTTTAACAAATGAAATTTATGATAAAAATAATGATCGATTGCTTAAACGATTGTTTAGATAATAGACAGTTTTTTCATAAAATCCAACTACGTTTCCTATTTCGGAATATTTTTAACAATTTTGTATATAATTCCAATTCAGCGTAATCAACTTTATTTTCACATCCGATAATTTAACTTTAATTTTAAAATATAATCCAAAATATCGAAATTTCTACCAACTGTAAACTTTCCTCTTTTTTTGATCGCTTTCCTTTTTTTCCGTTTCAAGTTTAAATTGCTAAATTTCATCTTATTACAAACCAGTAATGCTTTTCATTATATAGTAATTTTTTTTTAAGCATTAATATTTGAGATAAAGTCACAATTGCATAAAATAACTTATTGGCTTAATTTTAAATTTCTGCTTTGAACTGTTAATGAGTCAAAAAAATTAATTTGGAAAAAACGTTTAACAATTTTTAGCATATCTAAAAGAATGAAAAAATGATTTAACAGAATTTCAAATTTGAAGAATAGTGATAAATTTTAACCGTGTATTATTATTGTTCTGCAATGTCAAAGCGAGCAAGTTCTGTTTCGTGCATATTTGATCATAAACAAAGGTCAATTCATCGTTCAGTGACGTGTGAAACGGATATATTGGATGCCGCTAATATACTCTGCAGGGGTACCTTCAAGTCCAACTATTGTTTTATTTACAGGTGAAACCCATAATCATTCATACTACTAACAGCTATTTTCATGAAGGAAAAAAATAGGAACCTGAATAACTAATACTTTAGTACCAACTGTCATTCCACTAAAGTATTAATCCTTTTCGTTATACCATCAATCATCATCATATCAGATAAGCCCTGTTTACTGTATTACGTAAGTAATTATAATTCGTGAATAAATTACAACTGATTGTAAAATAATATGATGAAATAATTATAGATAATCAACAAATTATTTTCAAAATTGTCGGATAAAAAAAATCTTCTTTCCTTGCAAAATTAATTAACTTACATTACTGATTAGTTGAAAATGCATTACTTTTTAACTTGTTAAATTGTTTTCATTTTACTCTGTTTATATTGCCACTAGATTTTATCTGAATTGAAAAAAAAATTAATTAAAAAAAAAAGAAAATTTCAATCTGCATCATTTTTTTAGCAACTGTAAATTAATTAATTCACCTTATCAAATTCATGTGATAGTATCGATTTTAGATCTAAGCAGTCTTTTTTAAAAAATAAAATTATTTTTTAAAATTGACTGCTTTCTAGAACGATTCAAGCGTAAAATATTTAATATGTCTTCTATACACTTCTATTTTTTGTACTCCGTAAAAAATTTTTCAGTTAGCCTTTATCATTTCACAAGTCCACTTTATCGATGCAAACGAGTCAGGTGCTATTTAGGCATCACATATACTACATTTTTATAGACTTAATCACTTTTCACCTAATACTTTACCTAAATATCAAATTACTCAAATGCCCTATTCATGGAGTTGTCATACGGTGTCGCAGAATAATGTCGCAGGGCGTGGTCGACAAAGACGCCTCACTCAATCATTTCGTCTTGGGCGTGTCCGCTTTAATTGATGAACCACTTGGAAGAAGAAATTATTTTAGCTTACGAATTGTTTAATGAAAAAAAAAGAAAATCAGAGAATAGATGGTTACCACATAGTGTCTAAATTTTTTTTATTTTTTAATTTCATTTTTAAAATAAATTTTTTTTAAGAGTAATGGAAAGTTTGCACCTGTCTTCTCTTTTATTCGCAACTTTAACGTGCACGTTTTTATTCAAATTATATTTTGAATATGCATGTGCATTTATTCAAAAATATAATTTTGCAGTTGTAATTTTTAAGCGGATAAGTTATTCACTTATTTTACGTCTTTTGTTACTTTGCTTACATTCAATGAATTTCACTTAACTTTGTATAGAATTCTAAAATGAAGAAATGAATTGTTCCAGTTTTAAGAATGAAAATTTTAATTTATAGACTCAATATCAAAACACTTCCATAGTCTATCAGAAATTAATCATTTTAGAGCAAAAACTAATTCAGTGGCAATAAATGGTGCATAGCTCCAAGTTTGCAATTATTAGAAATATTTTTAATTCGATGCCTAATTCAATATCTTTAATCGATGAAATTTCACACATTTTTTTTTGTTTGATTTTAGTTTAATTATGATATTTCCATTACCTTCAAATTGATATTAGTTTAAAATGGTTTAAAATGAGGTCACCTAAAATAATGTAACGTTAAAAGAATGAAGTTAATTTAACATCGTATAATGTTAAATACATAAATTTTTCATTGCATTTATATCACTTTACTTCGTTTCAAACTTACTTAATTTTACCTAGAATATACCTAAACAGTAAATATAGTAATCTATTTCAGGAAAATTTTTGTAACAACAATTACACTCTCTAATACAGTAACATTAATGTAAACTGATGGTGAGTAATGGTCCATACCATCCATACAATATTTTCGGACCACAACCATCGTTTACATATTCATCGACATCCGTATTTCCTGGATATTTAAATCCATCGTCAACTAATCCTACAACAAGGTGTTGCATTTTTCCTTAATTTTCATAATATTATTGCATGTGAAAAAAAATTGAACTAAATTATAAAATTTAAAATTTAGCGATCAAAATCGTAAAGCAACAGGACGACGTGAACGAACAACATTTAATCCTATGCAACTCTCTTACTTAGAATCCGTATTTAAGCAAACTCACTATCCGGATGTTTATTATCGTGAACAAATTGCAGAAAAAATCGGACTTCAAGAATCTCGAATTCAAGTATTAAATGATTTACATTATTTCGTTTAATTTATCTCATTAACAACTAAAAACTGAATGAGGGATAAATTTTAATTCGAATTCATTTCATAATTTTGCATTAATTATCAAGATACATCTTGAAATATTTTCTATCCTATCAAAAGCAAATAATGTGATAATTTTGTAATCTCATCCGCAACAAAAGGTGTGGTTCAAAAATCGCCGAGCAAAAGATCGGCAACAAAAACGAATGATGCAAGTGCGACATAATCATGATCGATGTAGCAATCATACAGAAACACCTCCACCAGAGCCTAATAAAGGTGAATCGAATGCGCAGAAAAGTATTTCACCGCTTGTAATTCCAGGTAGTGCAGAATTTAACCTGAAAACTGGAAGTAGGTAAGTTTGTGATTTTTTTTATTGCAAATTTGTTAACGCTACACCTCTTTGCTAGTGGATTGTCTTAAATTTTCTACACAGGTTTCATTTATTAAATTGCTTGAATTAATAGTAATATTGTGAGTAACCTGTAAATTTTAAAACTCAATAATTTTGTTATTGAAAAGTTATTATTGCAGTTCGGGAAATACCATGAAGGAGGAATATCAATTGAAAGCGGTTTGTCCAACACATCCAGCAAATTTAGCTGGTATGTTCGTTTATTCTATATGCAAATTTCGACATTTCATATTTATTCCCTTATATGCCTAATTAATTACAAAAGAAAAAAAGAGTTATTCGTTAAAATTTACAAGATTACTTGTTTTGATTTTTTTTTTTAGTTCCTCGGATCTTTCAGTTTTGTTCATTCAGGATTGCTAACTTTTTGATTAAGTAAAGATATTTCAAAATTCCGTACTTTTATTTATTCATGCAATACGATAGGAATAATTTGGTTAGAAAAAAATTTCTAACAAAAGTTTGAAAGTTTAACTTTTGTTTGATAGTTGTTTAAGTTGAACTCTTTTCCGCTAACATCTTTGATAGTGAAATTATAATGGGAAAAGAATGAGTTGTCTTCGATTACAGATTAAATTAAATATCAATTAAAAAGTTGGTTCCTTAAGGATTGGTCATCTAATAATTGAGAACATCACACTAATTATCTAAGGACAATTAGGAAAATGAGTCCAATAAAAGAAATGCAATTATGGTTTTTTTTTTTGTAAAGCTCTTATAAAATTCTATGAAATTCTTTAAAGCTATATAATAGGTAATAAATCCTTCCGCTTTTTTTTAGGTTGGTCGTCAGCGTATTCATTAGGCGCACAACCTGCAGCTGCATACATGCCTGGTGCAAGTCATACGCATGCCGCATGCGGATTTAATTTAAGCGGTACCGGCGCACCTCCCTATTATCCGTATCAGAGTGATATTTATAATCCGTATGCTCAAAGTAATGCTGCTGCTGCTGCTGCTGCTGCCGCAACTTATTCATATCCTCAAATGTTTAATTCACTCAATAATGATTTACAAAGGCCCGGCAATTGAATCATTGTATCATATATATTTATTGATTGCTTATTTGTAATTAAAAATATTTTAATTTTTATTTCTTTTTTCTTTTTTGTTTGGTTTTTGAATTTAATTCAAAACGTATGAATGTATTGAAAAAACTTTTTATGGATGAAAATATTTGCTAATTCATTTATGAGATCAGGTTTTCCAGTTTCAAACATTAGCTGCTTTTGAATTAAATTCGCTTATCTATCCAAAAAATAAAATTTATTCCAAAATTATTTTAAATTGTTTTTCTGAAAAGATTTTCAAAAAACTATAAACTATTATTTTTTTAGCTAAATTTTTTAGCTATTAATTGAAATTATTGAAATCGATTTCTATTATTAATTGTTCCACTCAACTTGCTATGCATTTTCCGTTTTTAGTATTCGTGTATTGTGTAGATGTGGGCGTGTGTGTGGTGTTTGTGGGTTCACGCGTATGGGTGCGCGTGGTTAGGGTAGGCACGCGTGAATGTATAGGTATGCGTACGTGTATGTGTAAATTCTGTATATATATATATAATATATATGTTGTGTGTGTGTGTGTGTGTGTGTGTGTGTGTGTG